TTATTATGTATTCTTTAAAATGGGTTTTAAATTTTATAAAATAACAGTCCTACACATGTAGTTTATGACCCCGAATTGAGTTTTTATCAGAAACGTCCAGATTTTTGGAAAAAAAATCAAAATTATGAAACAATATTTTGTAGGTAATTTAATTTGGAATCTGCAAAACCAAATGCTTTGAAATGTTGCAGATGGTTTACAGTTATTATAAGCATGGTAAAATTTTGATCAAAATGTATTTGCTCATCCTTCCTAAAAAATTGATGACGTCACCTCAGAATTTTGCTGAATAATAGATGAAGTGTAGGTTTGGTTTCTTTTTTTTTCTCGTTCCGCGAGTGATCCATAAGTGATTAACGCCGTCTCTAATCCCATTCCACACTGAGCAGGACCTGGTTACCGCGGGCCCATCAGACCTTTTAGGCGGGGCAGCAGTTATATTCAGGGGCAGCAGCTTCTCGTGGAACGGCCGGTAGTCAATGGTACAGTAACAACGCGTCTTTTGTATACAATAAAATTTTATTACGGGTTGAACCAATTAGCTTCACAGCAGTTCATACCCACCGTAAATTGCAATTTTAAAACCAGGCAGCTAGAAGACCAGTAATCGGAGCGCTTCTTAGCTATCCTTCTTCTGATTGAATAAACACGACGCGTGCCAAGTCGGTGGGATACTCGGTGGGTGAACAGCTTAGCCAACGCCTCGTAATCTTAGATCATATAATAAATAGATACCACCACGCCGTGTTCTTCCCCTAGCAGAGCCTGTGACGACATCCTCCTGTCACACATCTCTCTTGTGCATAGAGGGATTACAATCAAGCTATCCTTGCCTGATCACTAGAGAGCGGATTTCTGTCGGGCTAGACAAGGCCAAACTCGGTACGGCTCGTACGGGATGGGAATTCATTGCAGTTATACCGACTGCACTTCGTTTATTTGAGATTAGAATAACGCTGCTTCGTTGCACTCTGCTGTTAATTCCAGTTCTCATTTACTTAGCCGTTTGATTAATAAATCGTTAATTGTATTTATGGAATCAAGTGACAATTAAATTCAGTGATTACCTATCACCCGCTACTGAGTCCCGGCGATGCGGCGCGTCCCCACCTATAATCGTGACGTAGCCCGACAGAAATCCGCTGTCTACTGATCACTATTTGAATTTTGCGCGCCTAAATTTTAGGAAGTATGTCTGAACTAACTTCGTACGAAAGATGTTGACAGTTTGATTTTATAAATAATTCACAGTAGATAACGAAAGGAACAGTAAATTATTGGGCTGCAATTGTGATCCTTTATGATTACATCACTTAAAATAGGATCTTTGTTGTAAGGATCCAATTCGAATTTTTAAATTTCAAACGAATTCCGCGCGCACAAGAAACGGTTAGTGAGAAGAAGGAGAGGTTGGCAACCAACCACCCCAAAGAAACAGAGATGCGCAAAGCGAGGGTGATATTGTCTTGAAAACGGTCACTTCGCTTTGACCGCTTGGAACAAACGGTCGATTTCTTTTCGAGCGCTTCGAGCAACAGGTTGTATTTTTGATTGTGAATTATTCTGTGCCTTTTGCTGTTGTGTTTTGTTTTTCCAGTGTTGATCCGGTTCCATTGGAAAACCTAGCAGCCACCGTTGAGCCATTGGGTGTTCCTGATTTCTCATCGTTCTTACGACGAGGTTTTTGCGTTCCTTTTGGCGGTAAGCCGTGTCGAAATCTTCGCATCTTTGGAGAGGTATGTTTTGAACACGTTTTCGACTGGGACCTGTTTCGCCGCGAGTTTCAAGCCCCGACGATACTTCTGACCTCGTGACACAGCGACGCGTGCGCCTTTTTCCACTAATCTCGTTTTTTTACCTTTCATTTAAAAATCCATCGCAGTAGGGCTTTACAGGAAGTGATTTCTAGTTCGGGCCATGCTTTATTTAGCTATATTTGTGAAATCTGTATTTTGGATGGCGGCAAACGAGTTGTTATTTTCACCGTTCTTTGTTCAGGCAGCGGCCATTTTGAAGCGTCCATTTGTTTCTTTTAATCGAGCACATGTTTTGACTGAATCTATTGAACAAAATAACAACGTTGTGGGTCATGGGGGGGACGTGCTTTTATTCTTTGGATTTAGCACATCGTTTATACAACGCCACAGGATTCATCGTATTTTTGCAGCGCATATTTTCGACGCCTATTATTTGGAATGACGAATTCGTCCAACGCCATTTTGCAACTGCAGCTTGTCTGCCATGTTTGTTTATGTGTTTTGTTTGGGGAAATGTAAGTGTAATAATGGCCCACAATGTAGCTGAATAATTTCACGTTTTGAATTTTAACCAATAACCTGACTGGACACGAATTATTATTAATCACATGTAAATTTGTTAACTTTGTAATGTCTCACCTCATGCAATTTTTCTTTATCTCACAATTCTAGCTTCAGTAATTTTCCTTGTTGTATAATTTCAATTGAACGTAAATTTCCATGCTCTGCAGTTTTGACCTAACATGATATTTTATTTGCACAAGTTTATTTCACACCAGATCTTTGTTTTATAAAGCTTTACTAAGTTTTGATCATGTAAATGTTTTGTTGATGAATATTTCTATCATATAAATTATCTGATGTCCAAATTTAATCTCAATTAAGAATTATTTGTTGTTGAATTTTCGTAAGAGTGTGTGGCGAATTTAAATGTTGTGTATTGCTCTTTGTTGAAACTTTAACACTTGTTCGGTTGTCATTTAATATTAGAGTCATAGAGATTGAACATCTAAATAGAATTGGAGGTAAATAACACAATAACACGTAGTGTCGGCGATGGGCGCAGTTCCTAGTTGCGGTAGCGGAATGTGTCGCGCTCTCTGCACATATGTGCAGGCTTTGAACTAGATTTCAGTGGGAACGGTCTTGACGACGAGGTAGTAGTTGACGAGACTTCACCGCTAGTTTTAGGCCGAAACGGCCTGCTTGGACAACATGTTCGTAATGGAGGGGTGATGTCTGGCAGGCTTGGTGTAGATAGAATCACCGTCGCGGGGGAAACCAGCCCAGACCGGGAGCTCCAAACTTCGCTCACGCTACGACACTCCCTCTGGGTATTTTGCTGTGCTCATAAATGAAATTGTTATATTTTGTTCTATGTTTGTTCGATCGCCACACTCTCATAATGATTCGGGTTCTGCCATCCAATTTACATATGTGTAGGGTTTTGTATTTGTTCGGTTTTCATATGTGTATGTCTGACAATTCGCGAGTGTTTTCTTTCACATATCTTAAGGTGTCCGACATGTAATATGTCGGTGAATAAAACCCCAGGGGGTTTTGGGGAATGAAGACCGATGATGCCTTGGCCCTGCGGACTCGCCAGAAGGGCAAATCGAGCGTCTGTCGTTCTTCGTTTCTTTTTCCTCCTTAGGAAGGCTCCTAATTTTGTCTATTATTTCTTGCGCTCTCGACAGTGTATGCACTTGTATGAAAGAACTTCTTCCCGCCATTTTTTCAAAACCACAAAAAAAAAACACACAACGTAGGTTCTCATTAGTTAGACGATCACAGCCAAGGCCAAACTTTGAATTTTTGAATTTTTCGCGGGCCTTTCAAACTGTTTCAAGGTCAAATTTTAAGGCGGGAAGTTTGGGTTATCACATTGTTCTAAATTCTAAAATTGTTTTTCGTACAAGAACTCGAAAGAGAGGTTAGAAGAAACATCTGTCAAAAGCGATTTGTTGCGCTGGTGCGGTACAAGGATGGAAGTGAAATAGACATATACAGATGAAATGCATATAACAAAGATGAAGATGTGGTGATCACACAAGGATAGCATTATACTACTCCCCTTGACGTAGAAAACAACAACAGATAGCTTCATGTCTAGTCACAGCTTTCAGTTTGAGTATTGGTATCTATTTATTATATGATCTAAGCTCGTAATGACATTGTAAAATTTATTGTATACAAATGGAACGTTTTTACAATACATCGCGCCACGATGCCGGCGGGCCCGGACAGAAAACTTTTGTACAGGGGGCCGTTCCCGGCCCCGACTCCCTTTCTCTCTCTCTCTCTCTCTCTTTCCTTACCTCTCTTTCTCCCCCCTCCCCTGTCTTTCGCTCTCTTAGCGTCTTAGTGAGTGTTCTGTGGTCTTAGCGACGTGATACTTGTCTGCCATTGCATGTCGAAGAATAAACCTTCTGCTTTTCCCCTTGCAAAGTGATACGTTTTTCTCCATGGCGAGAACGCGACTGGGAGTCACTGTTCCGCATGCCCAAGTACTAATAAAATTGTATTGTTAGAAGGAACGTGTGGAACGATATAAATCTTTGTAGACAAGACAACGTGTGTCGCATAATTGTAATTGTAGTCTGGAATGTGTATAACTCGTTCATTGTGTGATCGTTAAAAATTAAAGGCGCCCTCCCGTTACAAAAATGTATGTGTCTTTATACTTGCGTTCTTCCCCCACTCGTTGGTTTGCTCACTTCGCTATAGATCTGAACCGCCTGCCGCCATATTAACTTAATACAACGTAGGTCCTAATCTTGCTAAGTGTTCACGACCATTGGTCAAATTCAATTTTCAAGGTTTGTTGAGTTCACAAAGCTCAGGCGCAATATTGGGGAGCAGGTTTGGGTCATTACAGAACTTAACTAAATGTTTAGTTGTCTATTATTATTATTATTTTAAACTGTATTTACTAATGGTTGTTGATGACCTTACCTGAGTTAAATTGTTGTTTCAGCTTCCGAAAAACGTCTCCAGCTTGCTATGAAGAGCGGCTGCGGCTCCACAGAGAAGACGGTTTGTAATTCTTTTCAACGAATCCTTTTTATAAACTCTTCTCTTTTTAATTTTAATTTTGCATGGTTGTTAACTGACGTTTAATGCTGTTTTGTCTTGTCATTATAGGGTTCAGTGATCTAGAAATCGCATTTTTATGGTGTTTCCGCCGACGAGAAGGACAGCGAAGAACAGGGGACGTTTTGTTAAATGTGCCTCGGTTCCAACATGTAGGTGGGTAGTCATTTTGCCCGTACTCGAGTTTGATTACGCAATTTCATTAATGCAAAATGTTCGTTCTATCAATTTGAAGTCCGGTTAAAATTTTTCTAAAATTGTTTGTTACATATGTAAGTTGGGTAAAATTCTTCTAATAAAGGTCTGTACTGTCATTTTATATGTATGAATTATGAGCTGTTGGATAGTAATTATATTTATGTGAGCATGGCCTTGTTAAATAGCCGTCTTTACACGGAATAGTGTACCTACAAAAAAAAATTTATTGATCGAATCTTGCACCTTAAGTGAGGGCATAATAGATAACTATTGTTTGTAATAGGTACTGTGAATCATAATCTCGAAAATTTTTGAAGTCTGTCTTCTCTTATCTATTTAACTTTATTGTTTTCCTAATAAATCTGTGACGGATTTTTGTTTTCTGATCGTTTCAGAAGCATCCTGGAACCGGCCTTCGAGGTCTTTCGCCCGAAATTAGAGCGCTAAATTTGAAAATTTTGTAATTCTGGTTGATGCAGCCAATAAAAAAAAACATTATACAATTTGTTTTCTTCTCTTTTTCAGTCGGTTAATTGATCTCTGTGCAAGAGGTATCGAGGTATGGTTATTTACAGAATATTTAGTTGAGTACGGCCTCTTAACGCGTACCAATGCCGAATCTGCCGCGAGTTGATGTTGTTTCCACGCATCTTCTGACAATTTCGAGTGTCTGCACGTCGATCGTAGCCTGTACAGAGTTACATTGTTGGGTGGGCGTGATTGCCTACGATGGACGCCTGCTAGTATAAGTTTGGTATCGTTAACTATGGTTCGCACTGTCCACAAATATTGTAAAATCTGTCTCTGTATTGGTTGTGGTAGGTTGCCCATAAATGTTTATGAATTAGAGACTCGCAGTCGGAATCGGGACATGTGTGCAGCGGGTTTATCCAAATTACCCAGAAAAGATTTTACTTCTTTCTGTTTCTCCAGCCAGTAAGTGATGTGTGTTACCATTTTCCAGAAATTTAAATTACTCGAAATGAATTCGCACACATTTAAAATGTTTTTTTTTTTTTTTTTTTTGGTAAGGAAGTATTGGAGCTTAAGGACCCACCAGCTCCAGCACCCCGGCTCCCCTGTCCAGTCCGTCCCTGCACATACCGAAACGAACAGAGTAAACAAGTGTTTGGAACCTCCTTGAGTTTGACCGCCATTACAAAGTCTTTTGAAAAACAAATTCTAAGTAATGACGTTTCACACGTGTAGTGGAAGTTTCTGTTTGGACCTTTGTTCAAGGGTCCAACCAGTAACATTAATGGGGTAATTAAACAATCCGGCTAGAAGGACCATATGTTTAGATGCAGAAGTCGAATAATAGCAAACAAAAAATTGGGGAATATGGATTTATGGATAAATGACTTACCCTACTTATACCGATCTTCCTCGACGATGTCCAAACAATTTTACAGAACTACAATACACCGAACCGAAGGACCTTAGTCCGGACTCAACGGCATACGACGAACGAAAGGGACTATGTTACTACAGACCACACACTTGGTAGTGTGTGGTTTGTGTGACAGTTATTTCTCGAAATTTCGACTCCTAGAAAGCGACTTTTTTGTGTGGGTGGGGGTTGCAGGGGTAACAGCTAGCAACATATACGTAATAAATATGTATTAAGACTTCATAATAAATGCATTTTGCCTAAAAAAAAACCTAACTTATTTATTAGCGATAATCCATGGATCTTCCATAACTTGAGACAGAGTCAATCGTCTATGACTTGCACGAATAAGGAGCTAGAAATAAAAATACAAGTGAATGAAAATAAAAAATCTCAAATGAAAAGTACAATTTCCATGTATTTTTATAAAATTTTATTATGAAAATAACTTCATGTCAAACAGTCTTTTCTCCTTTGTTTATATTTTATAGCGGATTGGACAACAATTTTTTTTAGTAGATTACACTCACATGAATTGGGGATTGCCTAGCCTGTAGGTCGTATATACGGCCGTGGTCGTATAGTAAGCTTTAGTTTACAATTTAATCCACTCAGTTCCAAATAGACTAGCTCAAGTCATTGCCCAAAACGGAGCTCTGATCAAACACCAGTATTAAATTATTGTCAGCACTACCTACGTAATTTGAAATCACAAGTTTCTCCAAGCACACGTGTAATAAATGTTTGTGTTAATTTTTCTCTTACTTTGTCGTAAGTCGTGGAATAATAATGTTACATGCAATTACAAGTGTCTTAAATATTTTTAAACAAATTTTGCTTATCGTTATTAACTCAAAATTACATATATAGACAACCCATAATACCATATTACCGGTATTACCCCAATTTATAATAGCAATTCTTAACGAAGAGTTGTACGCTTTTTCATTGAATATGACTATATATGTCAACTGGAAGCTTACAGTAAGTTTAGGAAAATAAAGTTAGTTGAAAGTTATAGCGTGTTTTTTTCAGTTGCCTTTTTTACAATACACGAAACTGTAAAAAAATTGAATAAAATGTAAAAGAAAGGTTATCCAGTAATGGTGCTACATTCACAGTATAATTTCAATTAGTGTTTATTTGTTTATTTAAATTTCAAAACAAAGTGATAACAATATTTTTTTTTAAATCATGTTCTGCAAGTCCTACAACCTTCACGAATTTTCAGTCAAATAAACGAGTAAAGGAAACATGAGTGTTCATATTTTTTGCTCAAAATGCATCTTAAAAAAACGTCATAACTAAGTAATACAACCCATGCAACAAACAAGTTATAAATGAGTATAACAAAATTAGAAATCTGATAGTCAGTAAAGTAATTTGTCATTTAGCTAAAATGAAATGTATTGTATATGTACATACCTTTGAAATTAAATTTTGAGCTCCTTTAGGAACAATTTCTGGATATAGCACGTGCACCATTTTAATTTTTTGGTAAGTTTCATCATTAGTTTTGCTTTCAAAAGGAGGATTGCCCACTAGGAATTCATAACAAAGCACCCCTAAACACCAATGATCCACATATTTGTCATATACTTTGTTCTCAACCATTTCTGGTGGTAAGTAGTCCAAAGTGCCACACATTGTATTCCGTTTTAATGAGGGTGAATGAACAGACCACCCAAAATCAGCCAGCTTAATGTTATCCTCATAAGTTAATAATAGATTTTCTGGTTTTATATCTCGGTGAATTACTTGATTAGTATGACAATAATTGACAGCGTCAGCTACTTGGTATGTGTACTTAGCAGCCCTACAAAAAGTTATTACTAAAACATAATAAAATAAACTTAAGACTTACTGTTGTTCATTAAAATGCCCTCCAGGACTTGATTTTAGGTGCTTGTAAAGCTCTCCTTTTCCTGCAAATTCTACAGCTAAATAAATTCTGTAACTGTCATGAAACCAGCACAAAAGCTGTAAAATATTTGGATGCCTAAAATGTTCATAGTTTGTCGCAATGGAAAGAAAGTGAATGCACGAGTGGAAACTTACTTTAAATGACTCTGTATTTCAATTTCACGTAAAATCTGTTTTTCTACATTCCCTTTCACGAGTTCTCTTTTCAGGAGTGTCTTTAATGCCACCACGAAACCAGTTTTTCTCTCTCTGGCCACATAAACACGACCAAACTTGCCGCGACCTAAACGTGCGCCCAATTCAAAATCATTTAAGGACCATTTATAGCTGAAAATATATTTTTCAAAAAGCATACAAAAACATTAATAATAAATGTACTTACTCCGGATTTCCGTAACACTCATGAGACATCATTTTCTTTACCAAGTTAATAGTTGGTTCTTCGATTTCAGGAGGAATTTGAACATTTTTCAAATATTCTTCAGCCATAACGTATACCTCTTTTTTACTAAACATTCTTTTCGTAAAACAAAAAAACTTTATCAAAATTTAAAAAAAAAGTTCGCGTTTTCGCCGTAGCCGACAAGTGACACAGTGACAGTTATTTTTAAATGAAAGTTTTAAAGGGATTGGTTGTGTTGTGATTGGTAGATTTCGAATCAGTACACGAATCAGAATCACCAACATAAAATAGTAAAATATCTAAATTGCATCAAATGAAACTGGGGGATGACATGACAATTGACAAGTGACAACCATTATAACAACATAACAACGGTAACCACATAATAATTGTTATAGCAAAATAAGTTCAATATCAATATAAACTAAAGTTTAAACAGCTATGAACACATCAGAATTTAGCCTGAACTTTCAAGCATTCGTCATTTCCACGGTTTTAAGTTTTTTAAGCGTTCATTCGTCCGTGGTAGAAAAACCGGTATGTATGATAGTAATCACCAGTAATCACAATGAAACATCTCTAATAACATGAATTTATTAATTGTTATAGATATTCAAATGGCTTAATAAACAAACAGAACGAGAAAGAAGTTTATTAGTACAAAAACACAGTTTAAAAACAGAACAAGCATCTATAAATATGGTAGATGAATTTGCCAAATATTCAAAAATTCAAAGACAAATCAATTCAATTGATGGAAAATTAGAAGACATCAGAGGCAATAAACCAACTAATAACATTTTGGTACAGTTGGGTTTCACCTATGGCGTTAAATTTGTTTTAGTGGTGATGTTAATTGTTTTGTCGCTATATTATAGGTATACCCCTGTTTTCTACTTAGGAAATAAGATAAATTTAATGCCATTTACACACTTCATATGTTACCCAAATGATATTAATTGTGTATCATTTTATTTTTGGGTAATGTGCAGTGCAGCTGTGTCACGGATGTTACAAATGTTATAATTCCACGTATTTGAGTCAATAAATTTCTAAATTATTGCATCTAATAAGGTCCACGCCGTTTCTATCTGTCTACTTCCTAGTGCAAATTTTGGAAAATTGTTGGGTGTAAGATGTATTTCGGACTTTAAGAAAAAAAATCTGTTTAGGGTTCTCATGCTGGCAGTGTATTCTAATTCATTTTTTGCATCTTCAAATAGATCTTCTGATGTGAAATACTCGGTTTTCTTGTTCTTTTCATAAACGTGCTTCCTAAGATTGTTTTTAAGCTGGAAGTTTGCGTAGAAATAAGACTAGCTTTCTACCAGTTTGAGCATCCATGGGCAACCTACGGCCCGCGGGCCAAATGCGGCCCGCCGACCGGAAACTTCCGGCCCGCCAAAGATTTTTTGATTGGTGTAACTTTGGCCCGCAATGTGTACAATCGAATTCCTCAATTAAAATTAACGTTTTCAAATTTACAATTCACATTTTCAATTAAAAAAAAACAATCCAAGTTTGAGAAGATAAATTCCAATAATAATTCTTATTGAAACATAGCCGTGTGAATTTCTTGGAAGTCGTAAAATGCCGCGTCCCGACAAAACAACTGTTTCACGCATAGCAGAGTAGGATTAGGTGAAATCAAAAACAATTCGAAGAAATGTGTGCATGTGATATTATTGCAATTCAGTTATTATTTGTCGATTGAGGTGTAAGGATGACATCGTCCAGCAAATGCAGAAAAGTCGACAACGAATGCCGTAGTTTTCAAGAAAAGTGGACCAACGACAATTTTTCTGTTTTGCATAAAGAAAAGCCAATTTGTCTGATATGTAATGAATCTGTTGCTGTTTTAAAAGAATATAATATAAAACGGCATTTTACAACTAAGCACTCCCAAAATTTCGACAGATTTAGTGGTCAGATTCGAACGGACAAAATTGAAAAATTAAAGAAGAATTTATTAACACAGCAAAATATTTTTTTAAAACAACACCAAGAAAGTAACGACATCGTTCGTGCAAGTTTTGTTGTTAGCCAAGTAATTTCAAAACATTCAAAACCATTCTCTGAAGGAGAATTTGTTAAACAGTGTCTAACTTCTGTAGCTCACATACTTTATCCGGACAAAGAGAAGAAATTTTGCAGAAGTCAGTTTAAGAAGAAGAACCGTGACTAGAAGGATTGTAATGATGGGTGAAAACATTAAATTTAACTTGGCTGAAATACTCAAAACAGGTGTATTTTCCATAGCACTCGATGAGATTACTGGCATAACGGACACAGCACAATTAGCTATTTTTGTTCGTGTTGTGGACGAAAACTTTGTTATAACGGAAGAGTTGCGAGCACTTGAACGAATGAAGGATACGACGACAGGCGAAGACATTTTTCAAAAGGTGGTAAATGTTTTTGAAAGTTTTCAATTACAATGGGAAACATTAAGTGGAATATCTACAGACGGTGCTCGTGCAATGGGAAGTGTAGTATCAAGAATTGCATCTGAATTGCGTGATAAAAATGTAAATATAGACACTTTTTTTGCATTTCATTGTATTATACATCAAGAAAATCTATGCGCAAAATCAACCAAATTTCGTAATGTAATGGAAGTTGTGGTGACTTGTGTAAATTTTTTAAAATCGAGGGGCTTAAATCATCGACAATTTAAAGAATTTCTGGAAGATCTTGAGTCAGAATATGGTGACGTTCTTTATTATACCGAAGTACGCTGGCTAAGTAGAGGGAAGATGTTACAGCGCTTCTATAATTTGAAAAGTGAAATCCAAATTTTCATGGAAATGAAAGGGAAGTCAATTCGTCAGTTAACGGACGAGGTATGGAGAGCCATACTTACATTTTTAGTTGACGTTACCGGGTACTTAAATGACCTTAATGTAAGTTTACAAAAAAGGGGACAATTTATACATGAAATGTTCGCACACATCAAGTCGTTCCGAACTAAACTTCAACTATGGGAAATTCAGTTACTTGCAGAAAATACTTACCATTTTCCTACACTTGCTAATTACAAAAATTTTGATTCTGCGGCTTTGGCAAATGAACTAAACGTATTAAAAGAAGAATTTTCAAGGCGCTTCCAGGATTTCAGTAAACATGAAAAATATTTTCACATATTTTTTAATCCTTTTGGCGTGGACGTAGAAATCATGCCAGAGAGTTTACAGATGGAGTTGATAGAGTTTCAATCAGATGATGCCCTGAAAGCCATGTTTAATGGGACTTTGCTTGAATTTTATCAAAAATACTTTCCCAAAGACAAATACCCAAATTTTAAAATTTTTGTGTGTAAAATAATGTGTCTCTTTGGTAGTACATATTGCTGTGATCAATTTTTTACGCAAATGAACTATACAAAATCCAAAAATCGATCGAGAATCACGGACCAAAATTTAGAACACACCTTACGAATTGCGTCGACTTCTCTTAGTGCTGATATTGACGGCATGATAAAAAACATTCAATGTCAGAAATCCCACTAGTATACTTGCTAATGCCATTGAATAACTATTTTTAATAATTTCACATCACTATGTGATCACATATATTATTTTGAAGTGTCTTTTTGAATATTAAATTTGTTTTAATTTTATAGTGTATTTGTTTTTTATTGTTTACAGTACGTTTCTCCTGTATTAAGTGTACCATTATTTTTATTATAATATATAATAATTATTATGCATTATTATTTATTTGGTGGCCCGCGGTTGCCCGATATTTTTTCCGTTAGGCCCGTCTTACAGAAAAGGTTGCCCATGGATGAGTTTGAGGATTTTGGATGGGATAACCGGATCGATGGTGGTGTAAAACATTTCTAATTTGACTTCTTGAGCACTAATGGATAAAATGGGTCATAAGAGGTAGAGGGTGAAAAGAACCAGCAATTACTACCATACCGAAAAAGTACTATGTAGTTTGTAGGGGCAAAGATGATTCACTACTCGGTGGCATTTGACTATTCCCATGTCTGCCATCTTCATTGAACGGTACAACAGAGTTTTAGTTTGTTTTTTTATTGAATTGTCCATTTTAATTTCAAAAATTACTCTCTCAACAATTTTTGCTTCTGCGCTTGTCTATAAAACCAGAGATAATAATAAAACCTGTTCTGTGAATAAAACTTCAAATCTCGTCACTGCCAAGCCAGGCCAGAGACCAAGCCAACCGTATTGAACAAAAAACCCAAACAGAGCAGAGTAACCAACCTTACATTTTATCAAGATGACAGATATGTGTAATGATAATGATAATATAGAAATGGCATAGACTTTTTATGTTTTATTGGATGGAATATTTCTTGTTTCATAAATTTTATAGCATTTAACGTAATTATATTTCGTCACAGATTTCGTGGTGGTTAACGAAAACGACAGCAAGTCCAGCCAATCGCTATTTGCTGCAACTCCAGTGACTCCACAGTGCAACTCTGCAAAATAAATTCCCTAAAGAACATGCTGTATTTTGTGTTACCACCTCTTTTTCAATAATCCTTTCACTTCAACTGCAGAATACTGTTCCTGCCTCGTGGCAGTTCATTTTCTAGTAAATGAGATTTTATTGTGTATCATTAAGTTTATGTAAACTTCAGAAACTCCTTTTTAGTGATACAAAAATACTGTATAAACCTTGCATCACTTCGAGATCGTTTTGCATCAGTGTTTTTCTAAGTAAGAAACATCAGTGGGGCTCCACCAAAAAACATCGAGACATAAAGTTAAAATCATATTTTGAGTCAATGGCTGATCCACAGATGGAAGAAGTTCTAGCACCATTGAGAGCCAGTGTAAAAGAACAGGTGTGTGTTTAATGAATTTAACATATTCCTAATAACTAATGAACTGTTGCTAGGGGGACTTGGTGCGTAAATTAAAAGCTGAAGGGGCTCCAGTTTTAGATGTTAAAAAGGCTGTTACTGAATTAAATGCTAGAAAAAAATTACTTGAAGACAAGGAATTGAGTCTAGCACCAAATGTAACTTTTGATCGGGCTAGAATGGAAGATTTATTAAAAAGAAGGTTTTTCTATGATCAATCATTTGCCATTTATGGAGGTATTACAGGGCAGTTTGATTTTGGTCCCATGGGATGTGCATTCAAGGCCAATTTGTTGCAAGCTTGGAGACAATTTTTTATATTAGAAGAACAAATGTTGGAAGTAGATTGTTCAATTCTTACTCCAGAACCAGTATTAAAGTAAATTAACTGATATAAAGTAAAAAGGTATATATTAAATAATTTGTTTTTAGAGCATCTGGACACGTTGATAGGTTTGCAGATCTTATGGTAAAAGATATCAACACTGGAGAGTGTTTTAGATTAGATCATTTAATCAAAGCTCATTTAGAAAAGATTGTTGCCGACAAAAAGACAACAGATGATATTAAGGCAGATTGCAAAGATATAATAGTTAAACTTGATGGTATGAATAAGGAAGAAATGGCTGGTGTCATGCAGAAGTATAAAATGAAGAGTCCTTTGACAGGAAATGATCTGACGGAGCCCATTGAGTTTAATTTAATGTTTGGAACTCAAATTGGGCCCTCAGGACTTATTAAAGGGTAATGTTTGTTTTACCTTTCTGTTAATGTGTGCCTGTCTAACTCGATTAAGAAAAAGTTTGTGGTATAGTGAGAAATGTTGTCCATGGTATTTTGTAATCATTCTTGCTGCCTAAGAGTGTGGAATATAAAGAAGTACAAAAAGATATTTAGATAAAAAAGTTTTCAGTATTATTAGTGATTGTTGTGTAGCTGCTTTCAAATTATTAAATATGACTATTTATATTTTTTAATTAAAAAATAATGACAGTAACATTAAGAGGCATTTACTGTCAAAAATAAAAAAAAAACTTATTTTTGCTGTTTTGAAATGCACAAAAAAAGATTGGAAAGTGGAAGTTTTTATTTAATTCAAACTCGTGGACGTATTTAGAATATAAATTTATGTTATACATGGTTATTCACGAGAAGCTTCTCGCCTAAAGAATTCAAAACGCAACTAATAATACCTCCAATAACTCTGTACTAGACACTGACACTTAGCTATCACCCTTTGTTAGGTTAAAATGAAAAACAAACAAATTGAAAACGAGAGCTCATCAGGGCATCTTCTGTAGAGATAATGTTATCTATACAACCATGAAGAACTCGTTATATATATCAAAGACGTATCTATTTTTGGATTTCTATATTACTTTTGAAGAGTTAGCAATATAGTAGTATTAGATATTTGCAATAGTTTCTAAATGTCTCCTCAAAATATTTTCACTAATTATGCAAACTCCCAGTTGGAAAAAGAATCTTTCATTTTCATATTTTACGAACATGAAGATAGACATTCCTCAAAGGGTCTTATTAAAACACTTTGTTTAGTTGTTGCTTTTTTTTGTTGTTTATACTAATTGTCTTATTGCATCGGTACCTACAGATTAATTTTTATTTCTCTGTTCTCGTGAAAATACCACAAAAATCTAGAAAAGTCATATTTTCAGAAGCTTCTAATGTGTCCTGTAGTATTATCTTTTTAGTTACTAGAGATCACACTACCAAAGTTCAACATATAGTCCCTCCACTTCAAATTTGAAGTAGAGGGTCTACAGTTAAACACACAGAACAGTCAAAACACATTATAAAGTGGCGCAGAAGTACAAAATGCAGCTGGCCAAGTCCATTTGTACCTGGGTATTTCCTGTTTAAATAATTTTTCCTTTGCATTCGTACTAGCGTGTTAACAAGTTTACTTCAGTTTCACTTTCCACAAAAAATATCAACACAATGACAAAATAAATAAACAAAACCACCCCTTTCTGAAGTGCACACGTTTGGCTAGTGACTAACAACCAATAATCAGATTGAGAAGACTCACCATGTCAAACTAATCACATTGTCTGAGGTCTACCATAATAATATGAACATTCTGAACTAAGTGTTATTTATGGTAATGCATAAAAACACAACTTTTTTTGACACCAAAGTTCGCTACAAAAATAGACAAACTTGTGCGTAAAATATAAAAATTTAAATTTGAATTTCAAGTTGAGGTTCTGCAGCAGTGGAAGCAGCGCAGCAAGGAGACTGTTGATAGTATTGTTTCAGAAAAAACTTTCAGTTTTGAAAACCAGCCTATTTTCTCAAAAAGCACTTTTAGATAAAAAATTGTGATCTGTTTTTCCGAACACCGATTATATGTATTACAGTTTGTTGGGAGTTGAATCGAGAGGCCATAGAATGAAATAATGCTAATTTGGCGGAGGCTAGCATCGAATTCCACTGGTCTACGACCAGAAAACATCCTCAGTTTATTAAAGTGGACATGCTGATTCTAAATCTACAGAAGATATGACTATAGTAATATGCGTTCATGATTTGAAAATATTTAAAGTAATACATTTTTGACAACGGATTACACAAAATTTCCACTTAATTTGTTAATGATTACTGTTAACTGATGACTGACTAAATAAATTTTATATCCATTTGAAGGGTAATTATTTATTTCATGTAAATCTAAAAAGAGATTCGTAATTAGAAGAAAAAATGAGATTAGGAACGTGTACTTTCATTTCTGATAATTACAAAATATGTATTTCATTTTTGTAGATCAGTTTTATTTACACTATGTGCAGACTTAAAACTAATTGCAATAAGGAGGGGATAGTAGGGTGCATACTGCAGCAGATGAAGTTTTAACATAATTTAAAGAACTTAAGAAATTTGTTCTGCTGTTTTGTAAAGGGGAGTTCTCCCTCCATACAATTTTGATTTGACTTTTTTTTCGAATTTTATGTTATAGATTGTGGTCATCATAATGAAATCAGTTTGATAAAATAATTTGAAATTAAATGTATTTCGTTGGCCTATTTGTTAGGCATTATATATTTGAAGAACACATTTGAAAAGTTCCAGTTGATGTTAAAGTTATGGTGTATTTTTTTATGATATTCTCTGACAGAGTATTATGCTATAAAATAGGATGTTAGTATTTCTGGGTTTATCGAAAATCACTTGATTCATTTGGGTAAACAAAATATGTTTATAACAGTTACATCCAGATACGTTACGCACGAACATTATTCTTTAAGATGATCACTAAAGATGCAGTTAGGCCATGCGACTCTCACCACTTTCCTTCAGTAGCGCGCGATGTTATTGTTCGGTCGCGCGACCCTGGACTGGCAAGGTTAATGAGTAGTGAGAGAAATAATCGAGTCCTTGAACTATTTTTACCCGTCTCTAATGATCACAGTGATATCACACGAATTTGAAAATAATGACAAAATATGCCATTTGTAAAGAATTTATTTCTGTACGTTAAACAGAAAAAAATCTATATTGTTTTAAAGTAGCGTTGAATTTTCATTTTATGAAAAGTGATATTTCTATTTTGCCCAGACCTTAATTCCATATTTTCATCTACACTGATTCTCACACAGTTCTAGCATGTATGTGTCTGAACTCTGCGTGCTCATGCAATTTCATTTAAAGCAATGTGTAATGAAATACTAAACAGTTCACTTTTCATTGTTTGTGAAACGAAACTAATAAAGTACCATCTTGCCTGTAAAATTTTGATGGTTCCTTGAAATTAAACTTTTCCTAAAAAATAGTAAATAAAAATCGTATGTAAGTTTTTGTCTTAACAGGTTTCTTAGACCCGAGACTGCGCAAGGTATTTTTGTCAATTTCAAGCGACTCCTGGAATTTAACCAGGGTCGTCTACCGTTTGCTGCGGCGCAGATTGGTAAGTGTAACGAAGGTTTTAATTTATGCAGACAAATAAAATGTAACTATGATTTTAGGGAATGCTTTCCGTAACGAAATTTCACCAAGATCCGGCTTAATTCGAGTTCGAGAATTTACGATGGCTGAAATAGAACATTTTTGTGATCCAGTTGACAAACAGCATCCCAAATTTGACAACGTTAGAAGTACCGAGCTACTTCTTTATTCTGCTTGCAACCAAATGGATGGAAAACCAGCTGAAAAATTGTCTATAGGGGATGCCGTTGACAAAGTATACTTAAGTATTAAATTTTTGTTTTGTTACTATTGCTTTTGTTTTAGGGTTTAGTTGCAAACGCTACACTAGGCTACTTTATGGCTCGTATTAATCAGTTCTTAATTAAATGTGGTGTAGATCAAAAAAGATTGAGATTTAGACAGCACATGGCCAATGAAATGGCTCATTATGCCCAAGATTGCTGGGATGCAGAATGCCTCACTAGTTACGTAAGTTTCTCTGAATTCCATTCACCAGCAACTAAAAGTTGGAGGCATAGTAAGAGCAAGAAAAAAAAAAGTTGTAATAATAACAATAAGATTACGAGTTGCCAGCAGATGTAGTTTTTCACTTAGAGCAACTTGAAATGGTATCTGTTTCAATTCAAAATGTGGAAACCAACAAAGAATTAGTGTCTACCAAAGTTTTGATACAAAACTGTGCTACATGTTGTGCAAAAGTAAAAGTTTTGCTGCTGAAGTTAAAAATGAAAATTTTTAGGGTCATTAACGAGATGCAAAGTTGTGACTTAAGGCTTGTTTCTTATTCAAATTTTTAGTTGAACATCTTGTAAATGCACCTCACATCTTGAATCAGTATAGTGATGTAAATTTCTCTTCTAAAATTACAAATGTTTTCAACACGTGTAGTTTTAAATTTTTGATTAACTTGTTCATTAATTTGCTGTTTGATGGTACTTTCAGGGGTGGATTGAGTGTGTTGGTTGTGCTGATAGATCAGCATTTGACTTGACTCAACACACTCAGGCTACTGGTATTCGTCTAGCTGCAGAGAAGAAATTAGCAGAGGCCAAAACTGTAGACGTTATTGAAGCTGTTCCTAATAAAGGTGTTTTGGGTAAGACGTTTAAGAATGATGCTAAAATTATTACAGAAGCTTTAACCAAATTGTCACCAAATGAAGTAGAAACGCTTGAAAAAGACCTTGAAAATAATGGGTAAATTTTGGTTTAGGAGGTAAAGTCCTATTTAAACATTTTCTTATAGTTCATATGAACTGGTCATAGATGATAAAAAGTTTACGTTGACCAAAGACATGGTGACTGGAAAACGATATCAAAAAACCCTTCATGTGGAGGAAATAATTCCCAGTGTGATCGAACCTTCGTTTGGTACTTATAGTAATCCATTTTTTCAGCTAATTTTTTTGGTTTATTTTTCAGGTATCGGAAGAATAATGTATGCAATATTTGAACATAATTTTAAAATGCGTGAAAATGACGAACAACGTACTTATTTGTCATTGCCTGCCTCCATTGCCCCATTAAAATGTTCTGTACTTCCTTTAAGTTCCAATACAGAGTTTACACCATTTGTAAAAACATTATGTATGTATTGCTATGAAGTGTTTTCAGTTTGTCATTTAATTTTCTTGTTTTATTAGCTGTTGCCTTAACCAAGGTTGACGTATCGCATAAAGTAGATGACAGTTCAGGTTCTATAGGAAGGCGATATGCTCGAACTGATGAAATAGCAATACCATACGGTATTACAATTGATTTTGACACTTTAAAGGAACCTCACAGCGTAACTTTAAGGGAAAGAGATTCCATGGGGCAAGTTAGAATACCTGTAAGTGAAGGGTCAAGTATTGTATGCCAATGAAATGCTGTTATTGTTTTTTTAGCTTAATGAAATTGCTGGAGTGGTTCACAACTTGTCCTATAGTAAACAAACTTGGAATGATGTCGAAAACAAGTATCCTAAGTTTGAACAACAGGAAAGTAAAGGAGTTTAGATTTATTCACTGCAAAAGTCTATTTATTAAAAAGCAAACCACAAGATTTTAATAAAGTCTAAAAACCACATGTATTTTGAATAAGCGATAATTACCAGAATAAATAACAAATCCGTATAACATACAGCTTCGTTTACAATCAATTATACTTTGTAATTATAATTGTTATTATAAAGTTGACAACTGTCACTACGTAGAAGCGTTCCGAATCAAATTATACTTAACAAAATATGTGCCTACTCGTATTTAATAAATTCTTGTAAGCTCAAAGATTTTTTCGTAGAAGTACTAAAGTGGGCCAGTCAGAAAATGTGTCTTAAGCATGCGCACTGCTGTTCGATGAATATCCCACGGGTTGTATGCGGGTAAAGCCGATCTAAGAATTTCCGGTAAAATAATGATATAGTAGTGGAGAGCGTACAAGTGGCAGACCTAACTTTTAAAGCCCGCGATAGGATTACTATAAAAGTGTGAACTTCTGTCAAGTAATGTTTATTATCTTTCTGGTTATGAATAAACACCTGCACAGGAGCATGTTGAACATGAGTCAAGCGAAACGACATTGAAAATCGGACGGTGCTTCGGTCTCTTCTATCTAGCCTGCTGGCCCTACTTTCAATACCGCTTGGCCTGATTCACCCTCATCTCGCTCCTGTGTATTCATACATAGAAGAGTTATAAACATTGTTTTATAGAAGTTCACACTTTTATAAAGCTACGGTAGTTTTAAGTTAGGTGTGCTACTTTTGCTTGCAAGAAGTATTTTCTTCAATATCAGTGAATAACCACAAGAGGATACAATTCTATTTAGATTAGGTAACTATCGGTCCGAACAACGTGCATAGTAAATTTTTAAAAGCATCGTTTTTGGTTAGGGATGGGAACTGTAACGTTTCGATTGGTCCTCAACAGTTTCTTGATTTTCTGTTGACAACGTATAAATTAAACTGGATTATTAAGGATGATTTCCTAAGTTCTAATTCTTATGTATAATTTTATAATTGGTTAGAAAGCAAGAATTAACGCAAATTGTGCAACATTTGAGATTTACCAAGTAACAACTTTTTTAATAGAGGTGTTTTACAATAAAGGGCACATTGCTAAGTTATAGTAAAAAAATAAACAACCAATTACCTACAAATATTTATTACTTGAATAATGATGTAATACATGATTATAAAAGATGGTGAATTGGAAGGAAAGACTAAGCACATCTAACATTGAACATTGAAATAAAATACAAATTATACCACTAAACATTTTATTGTTAACTTAACAAAGAATGAAAAGATACAAAAGGAAAATTTTTGTATTCGGTAATTAATTATTCGAGTAATGCTTACTCAAGATCAGGAATAGGTTCATCATCCGAATCTGCACCATCACCATCATCTAAGTCATCAAATGAAGGTTTACCACCACCGGCTCCCAGCCCGCCCATTTGTCGCATCATTTCTTCAAAGTCTCCGCCTCCCATTCCACCCATACCACCTACACCTTCATCCCCAGAATCATCTTCATCTTGCCACTTATTAAAATCACATTTTAGCCAATGGTGTTTCTTTTTGTCAGATGTTAATGCTGGCCAGTAGGAATCGTCTGAATTAGCTTTTACTAATATTAGCTCGATACACCGTCCTCTGTTAAAGCTTTTGCTTTTTTCTGGATCTATTTCTTTATATAAGGGAATTGTTACTTCATAGGTTTTTTTTTCGACGCCACCAGTGCCTTTGAAAAATACCGAGTCTTTTGTAAATCTACAATCAAAATTGTAAGGCATGACAAACATTTTTATTGTTTTTCTTACTTAATATCTGGATCCTTGACATCTTCTAAATTAATAGTTAAAAAGACTACACCCGTTCTTTGAGCCCACATCACTGGGGGAGGTAACCTAAAAAAAGTGAGGTTAGCATGGTACCCTATTTAAAAAAAGTCAAGTTTGCAATTATTTTGATGTATGAATATTTTTAAATAAATGTTAATTTTCTTGTCATTGTGAAGTTAATTTGCTTTCGAAATTTCAAGTGAGAATGTTCTAGAATCGATTATACACAATGAACACAACATGGCCGTTATTGCAGAAAAATGAAATTTCATGGGAAGTAGTAGGAAAAAGTCAGTAAATATATTTCATTTTCTCCAAGTGGCGCACTTTAATAGAAGACTTTTTTAACTTACGTTTGTTGGGTCATTTTTAGCTGTATTAATTTAAATTAAATAAAATAATACGAGCTAACTCTTCACTCCTAACCGGGAAACTACGTGAAGTTTGCGATTGCGCTTGTTGTCTGCTTGACCAGGTACTTGACAAGTAGAAATCAACCAAAAGTCACTAGATTTTTAAAATGGAAATTTGTGGCGGTAAATACAAACGCATAATTTAATATGTTATGTAATGATATTGAATAAAAAGGTAAAAAATGATAAATAATTCGTGGACTTCCAAATTTATCCATAAATATTATAATCCATAAGTTTTTTAAACGATTCTGAGCCAAGTTTTCACTATAATTTTGCATTGCAAAGTATCACCCACCACGTGGTCTGTTCCCACCAATTAGAAAGTTTGCACTTCGCGGCAGGTAGTTACGAATCGCAGCGTACAGACAGTGCTTTTTCATGTTTGTTGTTAGATTGTTGATCAACAATCTGGCCGAGGTGCGTCTTAACGTAATTTTAAGATAGTTCAGTTGACAAGTCAAAGGTCACCAACGGCGATTTCTTATTGAAGTAAATTGCCCTTAATTTGACAGACTAACCGTATACGCTCGAATTATTATTATTCTGCTCTGATTAAACTTTGTGGTACAGTGAATATAAACGTTTTCGTCGATACTGTTTTTTTTTTGTTTTTTAAGTAAACAAAATATTTAAATCGGTTTAGTCTTTTTTTCTGCTGTTAACTTTTTGTCGCTAGTGTTTTGAACTTTTTTTGGCTTAAAAGTTCGAACTATGAAAAAACAGTGCAGATCGTGGTGTGCATTTAAAACGCGTTATCTATGGTTAAACAACTGATTAACGAGATGTCCATATTTAAGGATAACAGTTGGGTAAGTTCTTTATTAAGTATAGTATTATTGTTTTAATTGTGTTACTTGAGAGTAATTTTAAAGGAACATTATTTAGTAAATGTATAAGATTAAAGCAATGCAATCACAATCCCTTTTGCTGTTACAGAATATCAATAAAAACAATTTTTGCAGCAAGTGATGATTAATTAAATGAAAGTGGTAAATAATCATCTGCGGTAATGTTCCCTCCATATTTTTTGACTAAAACGTTTAAAGTGACGTCTAAAAATTAAAACAACTATCACCGTCAGAAGTATTTTTTTAATGATAATTAGACCTGAAATAGAAAGAAGAGTGAAAACAATATATTTATTTTACTTTTAATTATTGTAACATTCTACGTATTCGTGACACCAGTTGTCTGGTTTAATTAGAAGGAAATTTTGTTCTTAATGTGTCAACTAGATTAACTTTTGTTGTTAGAATTTTATTTATTTTTAAATTCATATTTATTACAATATTTTATTTTTATATTTGTATTTTAGTTACATATACATAAATCATTAATATTCTGGTATTTTCGCACTTTGAAAAATGACCTAGGTACTGGGTTGTATCACTTATCACATCCGCAGTTAATAGAACGCCAACCGGAAGTTAGTAACATTGTCTGATGTTTCACTTATTGTTTGTGTGTACTTGTTTTATCAAAATATCCATCACTTTTACTTAGTAAAAGAGATATACACTAAATAAAAAAGTGACAATCCAGTTTTCAGTTTTTTAATTTTTATAAATAAAAAAAAAACAGGGATTTTGTAGTGGGTATCTGACGCCTAATAATGTGGCAATAACATAAAAAACTTATAGGTATATGACAAGTGATGACATATTTATCTAAAATCTTAAATATCTTAAATGCTTTTATTTTTTATGTTGAGCTAATCAGCATAGAAATTGATTCATAGCAGTTTCTTTACATCATTTGTCAATGAATAGTTAAACATAATAAAAAATAATCATTAATTACATGGTCGGGTCTGTTAAAAAATATTTGTTATTGGTAGATATATTATTGTCATTGATTACATTACACATGAAGTGAAGTTATTACCATTAGTGTTACCATAAATTGGGTATAGTCTTAAATTATTTATATATAATTGAAGTCCAATAAAAATAATAATCAGAATAAAAATTGTACTGTTGCGAACGTTTTAGGACTCGAGCTCTCAAAATTCAAATGTCAGCTGTGTAACGAGCTAAATTTTAAAAGTATAAAAGTATTAAGACGTAATATGTTTCTAAATGTAGGAAATGACAGTTGCGCATAATGCTTTTAAAATTTAAATTGCCACCAAATTGTAAGTGTCCCCGACAATATTTCTTTAACGAGAGCTGCTTTCTAGCAAAATTAAATCAGTTTCAAATTTAATATATCAGAACTGCATTATCTTTAGCTATATTTTTTAATATACGCTCAGAAAGTACTGTAATAATAATCATTTGACGAATTATTAGGCAATGAATCTCCGAAACTTCTAGAGGGATTGTATATTATATAGATCGTAAAACGCTAATTAAATCACCAAAAACTTGATGATGTCATATTAATTTTTTCAAAGTAAATTTCACTTGTTATGACGTGTTCTCCTATTTGTGGTTTAACGGTCTATCTATATTTTTTAGCATTGTTCATATAGATTTCAATTATTAAATCAAAAACGGTTTTCTTAATTATCCCGAAATTCTGGGTAGGTACGCAATACTATTGTTATTACTGTTTAGTGTTTCACTATCCGTATCAAAACTGATATATTTATCCCCACTAAAAAGTTGGTGATGTCAGCAGAAAATTTTATTAGAGCATAGCACGTTGCTTTACCTGTGTTTTAGCATAGGTATATAGATTCTCCGAAAAATTAAGTTGCAGAATCAAATAATCTGAAGTAACTCAGTGTTTATATTATGTCCTCGCAAATGTCAATTACTTTTCAAAAATAGTGGCCCCCTTCTTCATTAACTTTGATCAGACAAATATGTAACATTACAGTCGAAAAATTAAGGACTCGGCGTAGCCTGTGTCACGTGAACTCTCAGTTTTAAAGACAATGAGTATATTTTGAATTGGCTAGGTTGGTGTTTTTTCTATAGTCGGTAGTTACATCTGCCAAGTTTCAGATTATTTAAATGATAACAACAGCAAAAATAGCATGCGAAATAACTAGAAATATCTTGATATTAATAAACGTTTGAAACGTTCTTACCTATGTTCAAAAATAAGCACAGTAAGTTCTTAATATGAGATAAATTCATAATAATTGCCATGGTACGTAAATGGAAGTTATTAGTAATGATCTTCCATTTTTTAGAAATTTATCTGTAACGTTGTCTACAGTTACGTTTTCTACGATTTTATCCCACAAAGAAAACTAAAATTCGTTATTCGCAAACTAAAATAGGAATATCATAAAAGTGATCCTCTTATGTCTGTGCTCTTTAAACTTTTAAACTTGACTATTTGAAGGTGTGAGTTGTTTAATGAAATTTTGATCGGTTTTGATGATTTTAGATTTAAAGTGGGTATGTAATTGGCTGCTATTTATTTCAAAAACTAATAGTTTTATAATATGTGTAAATATATACCTATTTTAAATATTTAGGTATGTAGATACAAAAGATCATTTAATGATCCCAAATTCTTCTAAGTATTTAAACTGTCTAAACATTTTGCAAAGCCTGACATCAATGAACTACCCTAAAAGTACTACTTAGTTTAGATTAAAGAGGAAATGTAAGGATAATAATGTCTATCTATGGTAATCCTCTATCAATAGTTGTACTGTTATCAAAGTAAAAAGAGAACGTAACCTGCAGTGTTATTTTTTTGCCAAGGATATTATCAAGAACATGAAATATACCTAAATCAGATGTAAAATGCATGTATATGTTTTTAAACGAGTTTTTTTAGGTGATTCAGGTGTTTTTAAATATGCAAATTTTACGCCGGAACTGTATTTTTATAAAGTGTCCTCCATCTAAACATACTACAGAGTACAGCAAACATATTTTCTCTGTTGATAAATTTTGTGGTTTTGTGAAGTATTTGTCTAGAAACTCTTATCTTCAAGTGTAACTTAGAATTTAATAAAAGCTTTAAAGAAAACAATACACAAATTTTAAATGTAATTAATTTACGCATTGTATTCAGTGGCGGCTCGTGAGATTTTTGGTAGGTTGGGCAAGGTGGTGAAGCGGTAGGTACCTAATCAAAAGTATTTTATGTATCACGAGGTTCTTGCAGCGTAGTTATTCTGTACGTTTTTTGGTTTGAGCTCCGTTTTAGCCGGCATAATTCCAAAATTTGAAAAATACACCGTTCGGCAAGAACCACGTGAAGGTTCGGAGCGATATCTTGCCGGGGAAGGAAAAAATGAAAGGTCATTGTTAGTGTGGGGCATTGAAGGTTAGTAAATATGTAAAAAAAACTAAAAATAAACTCTACATAAAAAATAATAAAACCAATATAACAAATAATAAAAATAAAAATAAAAAATTCTCAAAACATAAAAAAATTCTTAAATAGAAAATCGTAAAAAACAAAAAATAAACTCTAAATAATAATTAACAGTATAACAAAATAAAAAATATTCTAGAGTAATGCTTTTTGAAACTCTTGAGATAAAAAAAATTATGAACTGGTATTTGGCACATTTTTATAAAATAAGTCAATGCGTCTATTTTTTTGTAAGGCAAAATGGTCTATTACTCTGTCATAAAATTGTGTTGTTTGGACTTGTTTTTTGATCAAACCCCTTTCGATGGCAATCTTTGATAAACTAGATAATCTCGTCTGAGTCATTGAATTTCTAGTGAAAGTTTTTATTCTTTTTAAAGTTGAAAAGCTTCTTTCCACTGAAGCTGAAGTCGAGGGTAAACATAAAGCGATACAAAGCAATTTATATATTTCTGAAATCTCATTTTGCAGATCATTAATAAAAATGAAATTTAAAATGTCGGCATAATTTGAAGAATCTCCAAGTAGGTCTATATCTGAATACCACACGCGCAACTGACTTTGCAACTTAGCTTGGGTGAACATATTTTTATAATTCTTAAGTAAGGAATTAACTAAATTTTGGGGAAACGTTTGTCTGTATGACATAAATTTGTCTTTATTCAATAAATCTAGAAAATCTAAAGTTGCCATATCTCTAAATCTAACTTCTATTTGAGTAGTTATTATGTCAAGAATTTCATTAAATACGCGTTTGAAA